CTCTCACTATTTCTTTGCTTTTCTAACTTTAAATCTACCCCATTCCGCTAACTCTCTGCAGGGTAACGTGCCGATTATTCTAAAGTGATTAACATCAGCCTCTCATCTCTCTTATAGAAGCGAAGCTCCTTGGGACTTAGCCTTGTCGGCGTTCGTCACGCTACGCGAAACCGAAACTGACCTCCTGCACAACAAAACACGAAAACATTTGTGTATGTGCACATCAGTAAAGTATATGACAGATCAATACATGATCACTCCTGCCGTCTATTTATCATTTATACTAGTCGGCGACTGCAACGTAGACATTATGAACCTTAAGACCTTGCTTCGCGCGCTCGTCATCAATCACTTCATGGAGATGTCCGGATTTTTTTCTCATTATTTCTGCATCTAAAGTGATCTTTCGCTGCCTTCAGGATAGAAGTATTGCAAGCTCTTCCACTTTACGTCGCTTTGAACTGCCTTGAGTGTCAGCGCGCGCATTCGAACAAGCGATGATGTCACGCGATGACGTCATGTCACGCAATGAGATGCCATGATGAGACTACTTTAAGTGATCTGCGACGTCACAGTGATTTCATATGGCGACTGATCACGTGCTGGTTATTTAGTTATTTTTTTATCCCTCGTGTTCACACCCAACGACACGGACGCCGACGGTCAATTTTCCTATTTGATGAGATATCTTAAGTTTTGCCTTCGAATTAACGCATTTAGCGCAATTAATCGGCTCGGGTGTCACCGGAATGGTTCTACTGTATCTCAGACCTTAAGATGAGGAAGCGTGTTATATGTTCCAGACTGAATGTCTGCGTTCTAAATGTTCAGTAAACAACAACAGAATGACATACTTATGTTTCTCGCACCTATTTCGATAGTCATCGCGAAGGATTGAACATGGGGTACTTTATATTAAACATAAACATAGTACGATATGAGGAGTACCAGGTTATTGGCGTAATCTACGGCAAGAGTACGCGGCCAACAGCACCTGATTTGACATAATTTGACGAGCGAGCATAGAAAGCTAGTATATAATGCAATGAGCTATCAAGTTATGGTTCACTGTTGACTGAAAGATTTACAGCACATTGTTGTTAGACCGAGCGTACTGGTAGCCACAACATTCGGTCCGGCTATCTTTCTTCGACAGGAACACAGTGTATTCTAAGTAGATTTCAAGTACACTGTAGGTATATGAAGGGTCACATAATTTCAACACCTGCCTTACAACCGTAAGCGTGAGCAGTCTATAAAAATAAAAAAAAGAAACTGAAACTCTCGAATCCCTCTTATCCCCTACACCCTTCCGTGAATTCCCCAAGAATATTCCCAGTGAGGAAGTCTACCCCTAAACACCGTCACAGAAAGAACATCTACTCATAGTTTTTGTTCTTACATATGCTAATAAAGCGCGCATGTACGGCCTCACCATCACCATCCACCATCATCTCTATTCTATTTCACCATTTCTCTTTCATATTTAACACTGCCACCTGACGCACAATGTGTGTATACTCTAGCGCACGCCAGCGCCTCGACTGTTCCCGCGAATGCCATGCAGGATTTATATCCATCAGCGAATACCGGCCGTCGTCTGTCGTTTCCCACCGCTCTCTTGCTCGCACATGTAGAATTCCCAGCCCCACGATCATGCAAGTCAGCGCTTCGCGGGCGACAAAATGCGCTCTCCATAACCTGCATCCTTATACCTCGACATACGCTACGCAGTACTATGCGTGTACAACATCTCGACGCATCTATCTATGTGTACGTCCTTTATACGGCGCCGCGTACCCCCTGCCTTCCCCCATCCCCCCTCTCCCGGCCGACCACGGCGCGATACTCAACTCGCCGATGATGTAGAACACGGCTTTTCACTTTGGAGCGCGAAGAAAGGCGAGCACAGAAGCGGTAGCGTATATAGTATGTATATGCGTTACAGCGTCCTGAAGAAGGACGCGACACGCATTTTTGCGCATGTATGAATGTATCGTTGGATGCACGGTCGAGTTTGATCGCCTTCTCTCTTTCAATTGCACTCACTCTCCTTCGTCACGCAATTCACCTGCAGTTTCAAGCGGCCCGTTGCGTCGTACCTGTGTAACGACGCTCCTGACATCAATGAGGGCGGCTTTCGTGAACCCCCCCCCCCCCCCCTTCTGCTACCCTCCGCCCTCCATACACGTTTTCCGCGCGTTCCCCCTCCCCCAGCAGCTGTAGCAGCCGCGCTCGCCGAGGACTTCATGGCCTACATGGCCTAGCTGGCTACTGTACTCCGCCTCTATCACTCCCGCCCCCTACGAACGATTTCGTATCCCACTTCCCCTCCAACTTCCTCCCTGGCTTGCAAGAACTTCTTTTGTTCCTCCTCTCTCTCTTTAATTCACTCGCTCTTTCCTCCTTCACCGCTTTGAATCAAGAGCGCCTCCTCCTCCACTCGTAGAGGCCATGTTTCAAGTCAGCCGTGTGCGCTCATGGATTCATGTGTCCCATCTGTGCAAGTGCTGCTGTTCGGGTGACTGTTACAGCTAAACCTCAAGTACATAATAGGAGAGCTGGGCTAGTTGGTCTTTTAATTTTGTAATTGAGATCAACAGCGCGAGATGCCACACGAACGACAAATGAGTACACGTTGACAAAACTTCTCTGTCGTATACGCGCGTCGTATTTTGCACTTACAAGTCAACTCGAGCACATCCTTGGGCCCTAAGCAGTGGTGCTCTATAAAAGCTAGTCTCAAATTAAGTAGCACTGCGTTCATTCGCTGCCGAGACAGCGCGCTGCGGGTGCGTGCACGTTGTTTGGCGACCTGGATTTGCGCTTGCTTTGTCCCCCTACGTGTGTCCCACTTTCGCTTCTCCGGATATTAGCGCACTGTGCCAAGCGTGATGATGCGAACACTATGCCTCTCGCACATTTCCGGCACATTTGCGACCGTTCGATCAGGGGCCTCACATAGAACAACATACTTGGTACATTTTCTTTCACACTTGATTTCTTTTTTTTAATATACCCTTAATGTGTTATGTTTTGCGTCAGATCCTCAGCAAGCGTGGGATAGAGACAAGCGTTAATCGCAGATAAATGTGTGACTGCAATGATACCTGAACACTCCCAATGAACTCGAGATCACAATATATCAAACGTGCATATACAGAGAAATTTATTCGAAAGTAACTGGTCACTTTGACAGTTTAGCGCACATACGTGTCACAAATTTTGCATCATTAAACAAAGAAAAGAAAGTTGCTGATTTCACGAAAAAATATAAATATTTACATGCTGAATTCACGTTGTCGCTATATATTCCCGACATCGCATACCATCGTGCCGACTTATTTAATGTTCATGTAAACTGGGCGTTGCGCTGACAATATACAGTACTGTGACTCGACTCCACTTCGTAATTTGTGTTTCTATTTTTTTCCCCATTTAGCATGACTATAAACCACTGTTCTACTGATTCGTACATGGTGATTTCAAGTTTGAGTGCGATTTTATACGCTTATATCACGTCCCGTGGCGATTGTTATTTTTAGATGTTCTGTGAAAAGTAGCAACTGGTGCCTTCTGAAAACGTTGACGTATTCTACTATTCATATAATAAAGAAAAGGGTAACCTTTCGTTTCACGTAGGAAGCGAAATATTCAGCAGATACATGTACATCATAGAAGACTAAGGCAAAATAAGCAACATGATTGAAAAGTTTGGTCAGAGAGTTGTTTATAACACTCCTGTCGTTATACTTACTCTTATTATATAGTAAATATTATGGCATCGAGTGGTGCCGTGTAAATACAGCCGTGTCAACAAGAAGCTAAAGTCTAATCTGTTGCGCTAATCTGACGAAGCTTAGCGCAACACGGAGCCGCCTGTTGTTTCGCACGTTTGACTCAGACGAGTTAGCACACTTCGAATAAAACGAACACTACATGCACAAAGGCTTTGAACGCATTCGTGTAGCGGTCAGGTGATACAAAGTATCTTTCTAGGTAGACAAGGCCTACGGTGAGGCGAAATTTCCCCTACACGGCGTTTCTGGCGGTCAAAAAAGCTGCATGCTGGGACGCTTTCATGGCAGCCATCCGTGCTTCGTATTACATGCCTGGTTGGCAAAACTAAGTGCACGTCATTCATTTTCTATGTAAACCTTGTGTCGACTGGGGTTGCCTTGGAGATTCTTGAGAGCTCGTGCGGTACCTAACGTACATCAACTGTGTATACGGTTCAGCACCGGCGACTCCTTAATGGCAGTTATGGGCCTCATAAATGGTGTCTTTCCTGTTTTGTTTCTTCAAAAAAGTGAGAAAAAAAACGTGGCGTTAGGCCTCAGTGCACATGTAATTTGACGTCGATTCGTCTCAATCTTTGTCCTACGCGTGGTTAAAAGCAAGGGCTTCAGAGGCTATGAGGTCCTTCACGCCGATTATGTTTTCTGTGGAGGTACACACACATACTCTCCAGGGAGTCCAACATAAGTATGAGCATGTGTCTGCCGACTCAGCGCGTGAGTGCGTGTGTGCATGCTTGCTCGCATATATAGAAAGATGAAGAGGCTGGGGACTTGGTAACGTGATAAACATACTGGTGTGCACATTATATGTTTTCCTTTTATCTCCATAAACTCAGGATGCTCAGCATAGGTGGCGCCATCTGTCGTGAAACTGCAAGGACGACGCATAGATGGCAGGCGTGAAGAAATGGGCAATACCATATTAACGCATTGTTGTATTATAGTAATAATTATACGATTTCTCGTCCCGAAAACTCTGATATGATTAAGAGGGACGCCGTAGTGTAGGACTCCGGAGTTTTTGAGTATCTGGTGTTCTTTAGCGAGCACATCACTCTGAATACAGTGAGCTCAAGTATTTCGGCTGCATAGAAGTGCGGCCGCTGCTACCGAGATTCGAACCCATGGCCTTCGTTTGAGCATTTCAGCATCACTACCGCGAGACCACCGCGGGGGGTATGCGCAATGACATGTACTGACCGTGATGTGCTCCTGCTCCGGGTATCCTCCGTGGGATGTCCAGTGCCCACTGTTCGGCCGTTTTCCTCCGGAGGTGATCCCATTCGCGAAGCGGGTCCAGGAACGGAGGTCGTTGACCAAACGCACTCGCGAACGCCCTTAACTGCTGCTGTTGGCCTGCGAGGAAATGGACAAGTTGGTGAACTTCAGAGCGACGGTTCGCTGGGAGAGTTGGTAATGCATCTTGACGTAGCCTGCATGTGAACAAAAGAGAGAAACAGAAAAAAAAACACGATAATAGCACTGTGATCGTGCTTGCCGCTTCTTCCTTTGTTTTAGTAAGTTTCGTGCAGGCTAGTCAAGATTCATTAAGGTTGGGCACACCTAAATGCATGTCACTGTAGCAAACCTGTCCCTAAGGCGGTGTGTATATCGTTTTTTTTTATCGGAAAGTGAGCAGAGGAAAAAAAAAATTGCCCGCAGCTTCCCTCGGGGGAACACTGAGGAGGATGCGGACCATATAATTGGTTAACGGGGTGTTAAAGTGCGACTTACTTGGGTCGATGGCTAAATTGGTTAACGTGGTTGTGAAATGGGGTGTTAAATTGCGACTTACTTGGGTCGATGGCTCAATTGGTTAACGTGGTTGTAGGAGGGGGTGTTAAATGAGTGAACACGTACACACGTATGCGAAAGGGCGGCGCTGGTCGAAGAGACGTCGATCATTGTGTTTGTGGATTCGTTGGAATTCATTTCACCGCGACCTTGGACGTCGACGCGCCGTACAAACCAACCGACGAGCGGCAACTGAGCGAGCGAGCGCCGACCTTGAGTATATATACAGCACGACGGCGCATGCACTGTCAGCTGTTGAATGTTCTCGAAGCGCGACGCCACATGCGCGTCCACTGGAGAATCAGGAGAATTGTAGATGTCGAACGCGGTGTGTAGAGGAGGAAGGGTGCACAGATGGTGGAGGAGTGAAGCGCGCGCGGTGTGTAGAGGAGGAAGGGATGCACAGATGGTGGAAGAGTGGGCGACGGCGCGACGGCGCATGCGCGCGCGTCAGCTGTCGAATGTTCGAGAAGCGGTGCGGACGGCGCGGACGGCGCACTACAAGGCGCGAGTATAAGATGCTTCGCATCTAAAACAACAAATGTACTGTTTCTCATTATTCATATTCAAAGCTCAACAGAAATGAATTGAGTTGCTCTTGTTAAAGACGCTGGGGGACATTTTTTTTTTTCGACTATCCGCGCGCGGTCTTCCATATTTGCTAGAATTATTGGCGTAACTGCACAGCCTGCGGGAGCTAAACGAATATTTTCTTTTGTTTTTAACTAATGGCGTGAGCGTCAATACCCACCTTTACGACTAGCATGAATCTCAGCAAAATAATTTGCCTGACTTCTAATTAAGCCTGACATCTAGTTAATCTAACATAATTTAGCCTGAGTATCTGAGCCAACATAGACCACAAGAGATATCGCAACGGCACTAAGCTGTTGCTTCTCGAGATGTTGCTTGTCAGCAGAGACAGCAACATCTCCAGAAGCAATACCAATTATTATAATTTGTCCAGAATTCCATGAAACGAGGTTTATCTTCGGAGTTTAAGTTCCACAGAAGTTAGACAACTTGTCAGGCCATCTGTGAGACCACCCAAGAGTCATTCCTCTTTTTTCTACTTGTTTGTTTTGTGCTTGCAGGTAAACTTAGTAGGAAAGTGAAAAGAGGGAGATTGGCGAGATATATTCTTGACAAGATAAAAGGGGAGGATGCTCAGTGCACGAAGAAGGGACGGTATTTAGGATGAAAAACCAACATACTTTGCAGTTAGCTACTTATGCTTAATAAACAGCGAAATCTACATAACAAAACAAAAAAACAATCGCAGAGCACGTCGCTTAATTGTTAACTTCTCTTTCTGCCAGACAAGTCTACGCTAAACAGATGTTTGAGGCTCTCTAATCTCTGCGATCGTTCGTGCGTTTTGTGACATAACCACGCGATCTTTCACGGTCGCATCCTGACGGCTGTGAACCTTCGATAAGCTTCTCTGGGGTTCCGTTTTTCTTTTTGACCCTTCGTAAACCTGAAGCTGCGGGCGATGCCTATAGTGCACGCTAGACAAAACAACAACGCAAAGTGCGATTGGCGCACTTTCGCAATCTCGAGATAAGACAAAAGAGCGATTGCCCAATGCTTTCGAGCGCACAACGCGGGAGCCTGAAAGATCGAACATTAGCATAAGCACGGGGGTGGCGGGCGAGCCTGTCTATATATGCAGGAAGGAAGCAAATACAGCATACCGTCCAAGTAAATGTCGGCAACGAGAAAACGGTTCGCGCTGAGCAAATAGCGCTGTAATATCGGTATACGGGGACGTACGGCACGCACTAAAGTAAATATGCGCCACAGGACCGACGTGGTTTGCTCAAGACCCGGCACATGAGCCGTTAACCTGACGAATATGCGTTCGTGAAGTAGGGCCATCTATCGACCAAAAAGACTTCGGTGGGGGGGCTGCTTTATCAGAGAAGAGATCGCGAGAGGCGATATCGGTCTCGCATGTGCGCCCTGTGTACACACGAGCACACGCGATCGTACACCCACGGCTGAGCTGAGATTAGCCAAAGTGAGCACGCCCATAGGAAGGGTAAGGGGCATCGGTTGCGCATAGAACAAACCGCTCGTGTATGCTTCGCACATGCGTGCGCGTTCGCTTGCACGTTCGCGTGTGTATGGTGGCTGCACTGTGGCCGCGTAATTTGCCAGTTCCTTTTGGTCCAGCGCAGGAAGGGGGCCGGCCACCAGTAAACCGCACGATGCTTCTTCTTGTTTCGCCATGTGGGTGGCGGAGAAGCATGGTTAAGTGGGGAGAGGGTGCAGCCTAGGGTGCCGCGGCGGGAAAGGGCGATGCCACGGCTTTTCGAACGCACTTCGATGCACGCTAGAGAAAGGCCAGTCGGTGTTGGGCTGTGCGTTGATACGTTCGTGCTGTTGGAGAAGAAAATGGCTTAGTGCGTGAGCGGCCGGCGTGCGAGAGCGACCCGGGTGGGCCAGCCTACTTAGCGCCAATCGCTCATCCACATCGCTACAGCCACCGCCGTTGCATCCGCAGACTGAGCGGATTGTGGGGCTTGATGAGGGGGTGCTCGGCGTTTGTTTTCGCGGCGTTCTCGCGTGAAACTGGCTATGTTGGTGTTTTTGGGATTCAGAGCAAAAAAAATCTCGAATACGGACGAAGAAGCTCCGCGGGAGTGACCGTGAACTTTCCTTTTGTTTGTGTTTTGCTTGTGTACTCGTTCACATTAGCGTATACTCGATTCGTGTCGGCTCTACGTTTTTTTTATATGCGCACGTCTTGTCACTAATCAAGATTACGCTGATTTGTATAGTGAAAATTGTTCATGCGACGTGATTTTGGAATGACACTGCGCTGGGCCGGAACGTCTCTAACCCACGTTGCTTTGTATACGATAAAAAACAAAAAAGTACGTACCTCTGCGAGTCTTGTACGTATTGAAATCCTCCCAAAAAACTGAATATATGCATCCCCAAAGAAACACATTTCTCTCCGCAGTCGTCACCAACTCAACCTCTTCAGCGAGTTCACCAGAGGCGGCCCGCGTACGGCAGAAGAGCTCGCTGACAAGCGCAAACTTTTTCGTATAGAAACTGCTATCTCAGGCAGTTTCCATGCACGCTGGGAAATTCAAACAACAAACGCTTACGTACAGGAGAAAAAAAAATGAAAACGTGGGAGTAGACGAAGCTCGCTAGAAAACAAACAAAGCAACATGTCGGAGGGCAGAGACAAGTACAAAGTCGGGCGGCCCAGGAAATACGAGTGTGGCTCGCAGATTAATGCCCCAACCGGTGGCAACCCAGATCAACGCACTCGACAACTCGGTGGTGGCCGCGGCGGGACTTACGCGTGCATTAGAAGTGTGGCAGCTTGGGCTAGTTGGCATGACATGAAGATAGTTATAGCGCATGAACAGAACGACGACAAAGAGACAAGAAGGTTCTTCGTGCCCTTCTTGTCTCTTTGTCGTCGTTCTGTTCTTGCGCTATAACTATCGTTACGCGTGCAGGCAGCCAGTCACCCGAGCGGACGGATGGAAAAGGAAGCACGCGGAGAGAAAGGGATGCGGAGTGTCGAAAAAGGGTGCACACGCTCAGAACGTAGGGACACGGTAGGGAAAGGGTCCGCTGAACACAAGGGCCGCTTGCTGTGCGCGCCGGCCGCGTTTGCGGCCTGAGCGCTCCCTGTTCGTCGTCGCGGAGAGGAGCTGGCTTCCATTTTGTACCCCTTTCTCCCTTATACACCTAGGACTAGGTAAACAGGGCCGCTCATTAGGCTGTCGTGGCGCTAACTTGATTACCGGATGAATGAAGCTGCCTTCGGCCTCGTATACGCCTGCTCTCCTGCGGACCACCGGATTCGACGTCGAGCTGCTTCTGTGCACAGCAGTTCGGCCGCGCCACACTGTCGTAAAGCACTGTCAGTGTGCCGTACTCCTACGAGATTCCCCACGCAGTTTCGAATGTTGCACAGAAGTGCGGCAGTTTTGGGCTAGTTGGTATGACATGACGATAGTCACAGCGCGAGAACAGAACGACGACAAAGATACAAGAAGGAGACGAGCGCTCGTGTCCTTCACGTCTCTCTGTCGTCGCTCTGTTCTCGCGCTATAACTATCGTTGCACAGAACTCTCGCGCTGCGGAACTTTCAGAGGGAGCGAGAGATTCATACTGTATCGTGGCCGAGCTTGGTTAGGTTAGCGCTAACCAAACGCACGACCTGTTTTTTTATTATTATTTGTTGAATCATACAATACAAAAGATCATCAGACTGCTTGGACCCGTAGCCAATGGCTAGTCCTGGTATTCAAGGTATTCAACCGACACGTTACCTAACGGGAATCAAAGTCACAAAACCATTCTTTCATAAATGTTCTTGGCTATAGTGGCTGGGCTGACAGCATTCGTTAATGACAAATAATTGCACAACACGCCGCGGTGATCTATAGTGACTGTGCTGCTTTACTGCTGACCCGTAGCTCGCGGGATCGAATCGCGGCAACTGCGGCCGTGTTTCGATGCGGGTGCACACGGCTATGCACACGGCTCCGTGTGCTTAGATTTACGTTCTCTTTGACGACTTCCA